AGTAGTAGTAGCATTAGTAGTAGTCGTAGTCGTAGTCGTAGTCGTAGTCGTAGTAGTAGTAGTAGTAGTAGTAGAAGAAGTAGTAGTAGTAGTAGTAGTAGTAGTGGTGAGTAGTACAGCAACAGCATCATCAGTGAAATGACACCAGCAGCAGCATCATTAGTACTTGTAGTTGTTTTACCTGCAGTTGTAGCTGTTCAGCTATATCTGCTTTTTGTGTTGCTGTTGCAGTTTTTTGTTGGTTGCTGCTGTTGTTGTTGTTGTTGTTGTCATTTTGGGGTGTTTTGTTGCTTTTGTTGGTGTTGTTCTTCGTCATGCGGGTTTGAGTGATAAAGATGGTGATGGCGACGATGATCATGGACAGCGTCGCTGCAGCAAACTGGCAGCTTTACGTTCGGGGTGTAATGTTCTTACTTGAGTCGACTATGGGCTATGGCGTGGGTCTAGCAGTCTTGGGCTGGCGGCTGTCATCGCGGTTGTCTTCTGGCAGCATCACGCAGGCGGAAACTTTGATTCTGATGGCCAGGGGGCCAGATACGAGGGATTTATTCTTGTTCTGCGGTGTGGGGATTCACAAAGGCAGCCCTTCCGAGCCGCCCCTCATCAGCGTGCTCTGCTTGAACGACAAAGAGCCCGTTTTCCAACAGGCCAGGGGCTGACATGTGTACTGCAACCGCAGCAGTTTAGAGCTGAGGCCAAGATGCTTTTATCGTCCGGCAGGCAGTATGATTGTTTCCTGGAACTGATTCCCTGCAGCAGGAAGGTGTCAATCCAGCTTACGGACTCACGTCGGTGGTTCTGTGCGGTTCTCTACAGGTGAGTGTGCCTCATTCTGAAAATAGGATACCCAAACAAGAACCTCACATTGGCAGAGCTTCCAGGCAGCGCAAGATGCCCGCGCGTTGCCTCTTGGCAGCAAACAGACCCCAAAGCCCCGCACTTGGCACCTGCATCCCTGCCACCGTCAACATCGCCGTTGTCAGCATCACCGACATCAAAATTCTCAATCGCAGGGCTTCGGGTGTTCATTGATGCAGGGTTGGCATAAGCCCGCAGCCTAAATCAAGTAGGTTGTGCAAATCAGGAAATCACCTGAGAAGATGCAGAGCTTCCGATGCCCTTCGCCCCGCGTCGAGGTTTCCCATCTCCAAGTACGACGACATCTGCAAGGCGGAACGTGATCTTTGCAGGGTGTCATGCTAAGGCTAGTGCACGAGTACTACAAGTACTGCAAGCGCTACTAGTACTACTAGCACTGCTAGGCCTAAATACTAGTATCGCTCGCACTGCTAGTGCTACTAAAACTACAAGTACTAGTAGTACTAAAGATACCATTGTTCTACTAGTACCACTCGTGCTACTGGTTCTACTAGGGCTACTAGGACTACCAGTGCAATCAGTACGACTAGTACTACTAGTACTACTAGTACGACAAGTACGATAAGTACGACAAGTACGACAAGTCCTACCAATACTACCGATACTACTACTACTACTACTACTACTACTACTACTACTACTACTAGCTCTACGAGTACCAGGACTGCTAGTACCACTAGTATTACTAGTGCTATTAGTATGATTAGTACTGCTACTACGAATGCGTATTACTTGTACTACTAGTACTGCTAGTACTGCTAGTACTACGACCACGGGTATTCGTAGTGCTACTTAAACTACTCGTACTACTGGTGCCGCTAGTAGCATTACTAGCACTACTAGTACTAATGGTTCTGGCGCTAGCAGTCATAGTGGAAGCTTGCAGCAGAACGTAAAAGTCAGCTCAATGTACCTGTGCTGTGTTGCGGAAGCCAGGTCGACAGTACCGGCAAGAAAGAAAAGAGGGCGCACTGAGCCAGTGTCACGACATTTAATAAATACAACTCAGCTTCCGTTTGCGCCATAGCCCAACACTACGTACTTCAAGCACTAACCTGGCGCACTATTTTCTGCGAATGGGACTCAGTTGGATATACATGACGGCCTATTTAAAATGAGCGTTGCGGTCAAGGCAATTGCGTTAGCAAGGTAGGGGCAGCAGGAAGCTCCAGAGAAACGCCACTGTGCTTGCAGCAAATAAGAACATAAATCGACGCGCCGGCAGTATCGCCAGAAGAAAACCAAACCAAAGCAATCTCTTCAAGCGTCGTTCCCAGCGCACGTTCTTTCCCACTTGCAGGAATTTGACGCCTCGTACGAAGGCCAGAAGTTCAGAGTTTGCGAATTCAGTTGCAGGATCCGGAGTTGAGAGGTTTGGTCCACTGACAGACTTGGAAGGCGTTAAGATTTCAGACCTTATCCTAGAGTCGGTCTGGTAGCTTCATTCCATTGAACTGTCCGGTCTGTCTCCTGCCAAGAGACATCAACGGCAAGAGTCATAAGATTTGACAGGGGGAGGCAATGGGGGCGTCCTCCCCGGCTCCTTTACGAGTCATACGTTTTAAGGATGAGGGCTTTGGGGCTTAATGTTCATCACTGGGTTCACCATCGTCATCACCGTCAGCATCAGCATCAGCATCACCTTCACAATCACGATCAGCACTAGCATCGTCAGCAGCAGCACCACCACTCACCACCCACCACCCACCTCCCACCACCCACCACCCATGAGCCACCACCCACCACCCACCAGCCACCACCGACCACTCACAACCCAACACCCACCACCCACCGACCTTACCACCAACCACCAACCACCAACCACCAACCACCAGACACTAACCGACCACCAACCACCCACCAACCAACCACCAACCAACCAACCAACCCACCAACCAACCACTAACCAACCACCAACCACCAACCACCAACCACCCACCACCAACCACCAACAACCAACAACCAACCGCCGCAGCCGCTGCCGCCGCCACCGCCCGCCACCGTCACCGGCACTCTCCTCCTCATCCTCATCATCACATCATCAACATCATCAACCAAGTCACAGTCGGACGGATGCCAAGTCTCCGAAACCGTCTAAGTAACAAATGGCTGCCGCCATAGGTCAATACCTTGGACGTGTCGTCCACCAAGGTACGCATGTTCCTTCGGTAAGTACTGTTTTGCCACAAGGAAATCAAGAACCTCAGATCCAAGCTTAACAGTCCTGCAACATGATTGGACAAGATGTCATTATCATAGCTTTATGCTGCGGACAGCTTCATCTCAGCTTGCTCGATCTTAGATGGCTCCCACCTGTAAGCCCGCACCGCCACCGCTTTTGGAGGTTATCCTGTGCGTGCCAGCCCAGCGGTGCAGGACAGTCTGGGCGAGCAGCCGCGAAGCCATAAACTCCGGTGAGCAAAAATCTGGACCGCTCGGCGAATCGTTAATTTGGGCTGCTTTGCAGAGGAAATCGCAAAGCAGATGAAACGCCTGGACGAGCTTGACGGCGAATCGTGGAATTTTTACCACTTCGTGGTTGCTTGTCGTTCCAAGCATCATGCGGCACTAGACCCGGACTTAAGTCCCGACCCCGAACTCTCGATCTTCAGCTTCAAAACCAAATTCCTGGCGCACCCCCACACATCCGAAGCCCGGCATGGGAGGGCTCACTTCTGCTGATCCCTTGTGTGATGCTTCTGGTATTCGGTACCTTCAGCGTGCCCATCATGTTCACTTTACCATGCACGCACGTGGCAAGCAGGCTAGAGATTCTAGAAAGTTTACTCAGCGAGACTCGGCGTGGAGACTTCCATGCGTAGCCTTTTGCTGGTACTAGGTCAAGCCAGAGGTCCGATCGTGCTCTGAAGTTTTTACATGTTGAGCTCATATTCGGAGCATGCAAAGGCTTGGCCGGGCTTGCTTGTCCCGGTCAGTCGCAGACAAGGTGTGACGAGTATTCGAGGGTTTAGACACTTGAACTAGCATGAACATCTTGGCATGCCAAAACAGTAGCCGAACAGTGCCGCACATCCGGATCTTCACAGTCTTGCCCGATTGATCCAACTTGGTTGTTTGCGCTGACTCTTGATCCCAAGACCCAATGAAACCTAAGTCTCAGAACACAAAGTGCGAGGTTTGCACAATTGACGGCAGCCGGGCCGTTGGCGTGGGCAGCAACAAAACCAAGCGGGACCTTCGAAAGCATGGGATGTTTGGTTTTGGTTTTGCGGTCTGGTTCAACATCTGGGTTTGGTTCAACTCTTTGCGGTGAGGGCATCTAAATGTTTGTGGATCTCTGCAGTGCAGATCGGAGATCTGGGGTGAAGCGGACAAGGCTTTCTCGTGTCCTCGCCTGAAGCCGTCAAGTCTTCTGCGCCACATGGAAACAGTCTTATGTTTCATGTTGACCACAAGCCCTTCATAAGCGAGAGCAACGCCAACTAGTGCAGCACAGTGGCAGCACCATGAGATAGTATCTCTAAATTTCAAGTCCTGAAACCTAAAGCCATCTTTCCAAAAGTATATGAAACCCTAGGCCCGAAAACCTGAAAGCCCTAAGCCTTACAAACCTACGCCTTATATTCAGCTTTTCTGCAGAAGGATTCGTGGGATGCGGAGGTCAAGGGTGGACGACATGATGCCATCTAGACTTACGAGAAGGGGCGGTTGTTCAAGATTAAGCCACCGTTTTCGTTTTGTTTGCGAGTATACAGTGTCTTACAACATGACCTGGGATGCCAGAAGGTTCAGAACAGCCCAGTCAAGCCCGAGCATTGAGCACTGGGGAACCTCAATGTTAAATCTTGCCGCATCATCCAGGAGAGGGCAGCCTACACCGCCTTGGCGATCACCAAACTGCTGGAAAGAGGCCAGCCGGCATGTATTCAGAACCTCGCTTACAGACGTTGCCAAACCTTGGACCCCGACCGCCTCTCCGACGCTCGAGGCTGTGGGCCTGCCTCTGTTTCTGCAGAGATGAATGAGCTGGCAGCTTGACTGAGACGCACGAACAGTGAGCTCACCACCGGGGCTCATTCTGGACGGTTCGAGGACCGTCAGCCTGAACTTAGCCATGAGCGCAACAAGCTAGAAGCTGGAGTACACTAAGCGCCTCCAAAAGATATCTCACTAGTAGCCCGTACCGTAGCATCTCGTAGCAGATCAACCGGAAAAGGCCGGAAGCACCTCCATAATTATGTCTGACATTCCACGGATTCTTTACTTCTCTCTCATGCCGACTCATGCCCTTCCCAATTGCGCGAATTTTGCAGAGACTACGGTTTTTTCTCATGAGAAGCACCCGTAGTACACCCAGGACTACAGTCACTCTGCTGGAGATCTTCACCTAGTGCATGATCAGCTCTAGATCATTTCCAATAAAGCTGGTGACGCTATTGCTAGTAGTGACGCGATTCCATCGTCGTTGTTGTCGGTTGTCTGGGACGTTCTGTGCACCCTTAGCCGTGTTTCTACGGTTGCTTTTTTCTGCTACCCCAGGTGTTGATAGCATCAGTACACCGTGTTTGTCGTATTCCCATTCTTATGCTGCCTGCTTTCTTGCTGATGTTACCAGTATAGCTATCGTCACCCAGGCACTCACCGGCACAATAGAAGCCCCTCTGGTTTGCAGCAGCAAATATCGAGCAATACCAAGGCTTCCAGCATCCGGCGGCAGGCCCAGCTGCTTGTGTCAGGGGGGCATGAGCAGGACGAAGCCCCGCTCGTCTCTTTGCCCACCTCTCCCTATTTCAACCATGGACAGTACACGACAACAAATCATAGCATGCCTTGCTAGTAATACATTGAAACGTGTGATAGTATGCCTGCCACTGTGCCGAGCCTGCGTCTGTCTGGCAGTTGCCGCGCCCCGGAGCAAAGCCTGCGCCGCCCAGGGCTCCCGAAGTTCCAAAGGCGGGGTTGCTGTCTCGGCGTAGAGTTTGGGTTGTAGGGTCAAGGGATGTGCATTTCGGTTTGGGGTTGAGGGTCTAGGTTGTAATGAGGCTTAGTAGTTTCAAACGAAGACTGCATCGAAACTGCGGTATTCTAGCGTGCTGTGCCGCAGGATGTGAAACTGTGGCCTGTGTTGCCTTGGCAGGTTGTCATCCTGTCGTGAGGTGTCATGATCTGTTACAGCGCTCCATCAGGGCTTATCAGAGGGTCCTTTCTCGCTCATTTGTAAACCTGACTTTCCATGGTAGGTTCTTTGAAGTATTCTGGCTTGTGCTGTATCGTCCATCACATAGGCCTTATCGTGCGGACGAATACTGCTCAAAGCTACTGGACAGCTGTTCTTCTTTCATCAGGCCTCACAGCCGCGAGCATCTCCATTGCCAGTGGACGACCGCGACCCTCGTCGGGTCGAGTTTTTAGCATTCGGGGTCGATGGTTCAGAAGTCCGTCCAAGCACAACAGTGTAACTGGGTGCTTCAAGTTTCTGTGTCGACCGATGTCTTGCATGTTGGAGCACAGCTTCTCTGTGAACCCTAATCCGACGGCAGATACATTCAGCCGTGCAAAACTGACAGGCAATGATGCATCTTGTCGCAGGTTGTAGCGCGGGAAAGGGCGCGATGGGACCCGCTAACATGTTTCGCACGACTTCTTGGATGCAGGTGAGCACATACGAGCCGATGAGTGTGGTGTTACTGTAGCTGGCAAGGATGACCTTTAGAACGTGAAAGCTACCAGACAAACTGCCGCCGTCTGCCGCCTGCTGACCGGCAAGGCTGTTCCAGCAGATCGTGATGATCACGACGATCTTCCCCCCTGGGTGCCTGGCCATGTTTTCAGGCTTGCCACAACTTTTCTGATTCCCAAACGCCACGCCGCCTTGCAGGGAGTCCGCAGTCACCCATGAAGCGTCCTTAGCATTTGAGGCACATGGCAGGTAGGAGCGACTTAGCCAGCCTATTCTGAAGCCTCTGTGAGCAGAATGACTAGCCCCCAACAACCCGTTAAGGCTCAAACATGCAAAAAGCCGGGGAGGTTTAAACTTTTAAGCCACGAACACCCGAAACAACCCAAAAGTTGGGTAAGCTTGCGAGGAAGCCTGCCTAGACAATGCACAACCTTCCAGGTTCGATGCATCCTTCTCACGGCTTCTCCAATAGCCCCTCCTGCTGAAGCCCCTCAGGACAGGAGCCCCAAAGCCCGATGATTTCAGCCAGGAGCTTCCAAAGGCCGCGCCGCCCCGGCCTCCACCGGAGGCCGGGCAAATGGAAGATCTACCACTAGCACTACCACTACAACCACTACCCCCACGACTACTACTAGAGTTACTAGAGTACTAGTACTAGCACTACTACTACTACTACTACTACTACTACTACTACTGCTACTGCTACTACTACTACTACTACTACTACTACTACCACTACCCAAAATGGAAAAGATCGGAAG